AGACCCCACTCCCAGAGCCAGGGGTAGAACCCAGGAGTCCTGATCCCCACCCCTCCAAGAGAGCCAAGGTGTCCTGACATCTAACCCCTCCTCCCCACGCAGCAGCCCCTCTCCCCCCAGGGCAGGGACCCGCCTTCCCACTGAGCCCCGGACGGTTCCCACCTCTGTCCCCCAACAGCGCTGGAGCCGCCCCATCCGGGCCCATCCCCACCCTCCGGAGCCCTGCCCCCAGCAATCAGCTGTTCCCCCGCCCATCCCCCACACGTGCTGTTGTCAGCCCCCCCCCCCCCGCCACGTTACCCCGCTGGCTCGGGGGGGCTCCCCCTCCCAGGGACTCCGGAGGAAGTTGGGGCTGGTGCTGACTGCTTCCTGTGCCCCCCCTCCTCCCAGCCACCGCCACCCACTCACCGCGGGGGCGGGAGCGGGCTCCCCAGCTGGGCTCCCCGCCCTAGGGTGCGCCCCCGGCTCCAGCTCGCCCCGCGCTGCGGTCCCCGCGGGGAGGACACCAGGGGAGGGACTCAGGAACGGAGACAACGTTATGGGGGGAGAGGATGCGGGGAGGGGGGAGAAACCCGGGAGAATCTCCATAGTGATTGGCTGGCACAGGCCACCCCCCCGCTTCAACCCAGCTGCCATTGGCCGGGGGAGCAGCCGCAGACCGAGTGGATTGGGAGTGGAGGGAGACCCCTCCAGCAGCCAGCGCCTCACCGCACTGCCCGCCCCCACCTGGGAGGGGAACCCAGGCGTCCTGGCTCCCCACCCCCACATGCTGCTCTAACCCGCTAGACCTCACTCCCCGCCGCAGCCAAGAATAGAACCCAGGAGTCCTGGCCACTAGCCACCACTGCCACTCTCTAGCCACAGCTGAGAATGGAACCCAGGAGTCCTGACTCCCAGCGCCCCCTCGAACCCACTAAACTCCCCTCCCAAAGCAGGGGACAGAACCCAGGAGTCCTGGCTCCCGGCCACTGGTGCTCTAACCATTAGACCCCACTTCCCACTCAGACAGTGATTGAACCCAGGTGGCCTCGAGCCCTATGTGTGAGTTCAGCCCAAATAGCCCCTGCCTCCTAATTTACCCTCTGCTCACAGAGTAACTGAGTTTGCTGAGCAAATTTATAACCCCAAATTTATAACTCTGGGACTTGAATGTCTGAGTGCCTGGGTTACAGCAGAGAGAAACTGAATAAAAGGGGCTGTGTGTTAACCTTCCACCCACAGAGAGAGAAGTAGAGACACAATGAGAGTCTGTTCACAATGCAGTGTGGATGCTCACACATGGGCTTGGAAACAGAGTCCACGGGCCTGTAGCCCCAGATTTAGTGGGCAGTGTAGACAAACCCTCTCTCCTGGGATGGAAGAGACTCCCCAGCAGGAAGGGCCTGCAGGAGCAGAGCCGTGCAGGGCCTCCCAGAGCCCTGAGCAGGGAGGAGGAGATCCCAGCCCAGCCCACCACTGATGTCCACCATAGTGGATCGACCCTACAAATGCACTGCATGTGGGAAGAGCTTCCTGCTCAGCTCCCAGCTCCTCGGGGAATTGATTAGATGAGATATGCCCAGATGATGCTGTCAGGTGACCCACGCCCTACACTGCAGAGGAAGGCAAAACAACAACAACAACAAAGCCCCAGACAATCTGACCTGGGGGGAAATTCCTTCCTGACCCCAAATCTGGCAACCCTAAGCATGTGAACAAGACCCACTAGTTAGGCATCTAGAAAGTATGCTCTGGACCAGCTCAAAGCACTGGCTCACCCTGTCCAGTGTCCTGTCTCCAGCTGCGACGCTCTGTGCTTCAGAGGAAGGGAGGAAAGAAACCTCTCAGAATGGACCTGGCCAACTGTGCATCAGGGGGAAAAGTCCTTCCTGACAGCTGCAGGGATGAAGCTCTGAAGTATGAGATTAGATTAGATTGATTGTCATAATGCAGAGCTGCAAGCATGATGAGCACATGTGTGCTTTACTCAAGGCCACCCAGAGAGTCTGTGGTGGAATGGGGAATGAATGCAAGTCTCCCACATCCTAGGTTAGGACTGTAACCCCTGGGCCATCCAATCTCCATTGTCCTAGCTGGGAGAAGGGCACAACACTTGGCAAAAATCAGTGAGTCAGGGGAATTATTATTTTAAAGAATGGGGTTTTTGCAGCTGCCTTTGTGGTGGGGATCAAACATCCAAACCCAGCGGGGAGCTGGGAAAAGCTCAGTCTCGAATTTTTTCCATTTTTGTCATTGGAAGGAGCTGAGAGGACACGACACGAGTAAGGAAGTGACAGTTGTTTGGAGGAAGCTTTCCCAGCAGGCTGGCTGTTCTGGAACTGTCCACTAGGGGTCTCCTTACAGGCTCCTCTGAAGCCGCTGCTGTAGACGGGATACCAGGCTAGATGGGCCCATGATTCTGATCTGGGCAGACGGATGCAGGGGTCTGATCTGGAACTGTGTGTATTTTAGTAAAATGCTGAACATCCCTGCTCCTGCGGGGGGCGTGGGTGCAACGAGAGGTTGGAGGGTAGCATCACTTTGGCTTGGATGCTTAAGCACCAGGACGGAGAGCCCTGAATTGGTGAATTGCAGAAAAACTAGTCTACAGCCAGCTAGTGATACAGTGGCACCCCCTAGGGGCAAGGATGTTAATTTACTGTCTAGTATCAGGGGGTAGCCGTGTTAGTCTGTATCTACAAAAACAACAAGGAGTCTGGTGGCACCGTAAAGACTAACAGATTTATTTGGGCATAAGCTTTCGTGGGTAAAAACCTCACTTCTTCAAATGCATACAGTGAAAGTTACAGATGCAGGCATTATATACTGACACATGGAGAGCAGGCAGTGCTTCTCAAAGTCGGGCCGCCGCTTGTTCAGGGAAAGCCCCTGGCGGGCTGGGCCGGTTTGTTTACCTGCCACGTCCACAGGTTCGGCCGATTGCGGCTCCCACTGGCCGTGGTTCACCGCTCCAGGCCAATGGGGGCTGTGGGAAGCGGCGCGGGCCGAGGGATGTGCTGGGCATTTGGTCAGCTTTTTTAGAAAGGAATTAGCAAAGTTAAGTGCCCAATTAAGAAGCACTTAAGGAATAATGCATCTTGGAATGCTCCAATCCACATAAGAAGTCTTCCTGGAGACATACAAGATACCATGTGGACAATGGCTTCTGCCTGTAAAGACTGTGAGTCATACATGGGCATGTGACTTTCCCAGATGACTCCAGAACTCCATCTTGGAGCTGGACTTTGCATAGGAGAGAGGAGGGGGTCTCCACCCACAAGAGAAAGTCTATTTAAGCCCGTGGGAGACCCCTCCATGGTGGTCTTGAGCTGGCTAAAAAGAGAGCCGCTCCACCCCAAGGATATCTGAAAGAAACTGGAACAAAGGACAATAACCACAGGGGGTGTGAGTGATTGCTGGACCCAGACTAGAAGGAGGCTTGTCTGTAAAAGGAAGCTTACTGGTGAGGTTTTTATCTGTACTCAGTTGTATTACTGTATTAGACTTAGATTTGCATGTTTTATTTTATTTTACTTGGTAATTCACTTTGTTCTGTCTGTTACTACTTGGAACCCCTTAAATCCTACTTTCTGTATTTAATAAAATCACTTTTTACTTATTAATTTACCCAGCGTATGTATTAATACCGGGGGGCGGGGGGCAAACAGCTGTGCATATCTCTCTATCAGTGTTATAGAGGGCAAACAGCTTATGAGTTTCTCACAAAACTGGATGACTAGGCAACAAAATGGCAGATGAAATTTGGTGTTGATAAGTGCAAAGTAATGCACATTGGAAAATATAATCCTAACTATATATATATATACACAAAATTATGGGGTCTAAATTAGCTGTTCCCTGAAAACACCCACTCCATGTGCAGCAGCAGTCAAAAAAAAAGCTAACAGAATGTTAGGAACTATTAGGAAAGGGATAGATAATAAGGCAGACAAATATTGTGCCACTATATAAATCCATGGTACGCCCACACCTTGAATACTGTGTGCAGTTTTGGTCTCCCCATCTCAAAAAAGATATATTAGAATTAGACAAAGTACAGAAAAGGGCAAAAATGATTGGGGGTATGGAACAGCTTCCATATGAGGAGAGATTAAAAAGACTGAGACTGTTCATCTTATAAAAGAAATGACTAAAAGGGGATAGATAGAATTCTATAACATCATGACTGGTGTGGAGAAAGTGAATAGGGAAGTGTTATTTACCCCTTCACATCACACAAGAATCAGGGACATCCAATGAAATTAATAGGCAGCAGGTTTCAAACAAACATAAGGAAATACTTCATATAGCACAGTTAAGCTGTGGAACTCATTGCCAGGAGATGTTGTGAAGGCTAAAAGTATAACTAGGTTAAAAAAGAATTAGATCAGCTCATGGAGGATCGGTCCATCAATGGCTATTAGCCAAGATGGTCAAGATGCAACCCCATGCTCTGGGCGTCCCTAAAACTCCAACTGCCAGAAGCTGGGACTCGGTGATACTCAATAATACTCACTCAATAATAACCCTGTTCTGTTCATTCCCTCTGAAGCATCTGGCATTGGCCACTGTCAGAAGACAGGATACTGGGCTAGATGGACCATTGTTCTGACCCAATATGGCCGTTCTTATGTTCTAAGGGGACACTTATGCTTTTTTCCAGGCAAACGTCAATTCAATTACAAAACAAAGTTTATAGATCATAGCAGGCAATTCCCCAGTAAAAAGCTTAGTTAAAGTTGTCAATGTTACCATGAACTGACTTTTGCTTGTGGGTGTTGTAACTGCAGGGCGGGGTGCCCCCCCCCGGTGGGTGCCCCCTCCCTCAAGTGTTACAGGGTTCCAGCTTTGTGTGTGCATGTACCCTGTGTCAGAATTGTGTGTGTGGCCCCCAAGTGTTACTGAGTGGTGTGTGTGTGTGTGTGTGTGTGTGTGTGTGTGTTTTAGAAAGACAGCAAGCAAACTGGAAGTTTCTTAGTTCAGCTGTTGTGAAGGTCACAAACACACCCACATGTAAACCACCAGGTTTTCCAAAGTGACTCATCTTTCTCCTCTTCTAAGTCTCACCTCTCAGAAATGACTTGCCCGATGCACCTCAAAAATGGGTGGGGGGAAAATTCACCTCCAGACGCAGAGCAGGTTGGGTGAGATTTAAGTCAGATAGGACCTTTCTTGAGTAGACCAGTAAGCAGGTGACCAATGGAAAATTAACCACAAGAATTTTGTTATTACTTACTAGGTGTATTACAGTAGCACCTAGACGCCGCAGTCAGGGACTCGGACCCAATCTGCTAGATGCTGTACATTATTAGGTGAATTATGGTAGCACTAGAAGCCCCAGTCATGGACCAGGGGACCCCACTACATTAGGCACTGTACATACTTTATTAGGAGTATTATGGTAGGGCCCAAGAGCCACATTCCTGGACCAGGACCCCATGGGGCTCGAGGCAGGACAAACACAGAAGAATCCCTCATGTATTGTCACAAACCATTTAGGCTCCTACCTTCCATTTACAGATCTGGGCTTCAATTTCTCTATCAGTCAAA